TAGCATTACAGGTACAACTGCCACAAAGGCTGACCTGGAGGGAGGTTCGAAATGCGAGTATTTCAAAGCAAAAAGGCAACACGGTTCAGTTTTTATGTTGGGTTTGAAATAAAATGCAGACTGTAATAATTTCACTGTAAAGCCTTCAGTCTCAATCAGTTGTACTTGGCACATTTACAGAAACTGAAAGCTTGGAAATAAGATGATCACCCACTGGGCATTTCCAAAAATTGGTTATAGTTTGGTGTCGAATGATCCACTGCCATATCTGCACTATTAATCCATGGGTGTAATGAATTTGCTGGCTGAGTAGACTGTCAAGCATCTCTTAGCATTTAGCAGTATTCAGCACAGTCATAATGATAAACTGGCAATGGCAGGTAAAGCAGACTGAACCGTCAACATTACGGTGAATGCAAATCTCCCACTTTTTACTACAAACACTTTTATGCAAATAAATGCAATGTGGGTAATGTGAGTGGTTTGTGCATTCTGCAGAGTAAGGCTGTCTCTTTTTCTTGTGTGAGGTATTGTTTCCCTCGTGTTCAGCTATTTTAACAAACCAGGTCTCCAGGTCCCTTAACAGAGGTATGCTGTTTAAGTAAAATTAAACTCCATGAAATCTTTAGATATAGTTATTATAATGTACACAAGTTTTCTTAAACTGATAATGATCTTGAAAACATCCTAAATTTCTGCATGCTACAGGTCTTTGTTCCCCGAGTAAAACAAAACAAAAGCCTGCTTTAAAAATGAATGAATACTGCCACCTGCTGCTCTAATGACTCCAACATGAAGCATTTACTTTTTTAAAGATTCATTTCACTCAAATTAATTGAAATAAATATACATAGTACACAGGGCAAAACAAATTGTACAATTCCAACAAGTTTGAAAGTCAATATTTGGTATGAGCATCTTTATTCTTCAGCACAGCCTGAACTCTCTTTCTCATCATTTCTTTTTTCAAGAATAGTTCTCCAGGCCTCTTGAGGGACATTCAAAGCTGTTCTTTGGATGTTGGATGTCTTTTGCTCTGTTCTCTCTCAAGATGAGGTCCAAGCTCTCGGAAAGCCAATCCATTGTTTGTTTTTCTGTTCAGGTATGCTTTTAATAGCACTGCTAAATTATAGCCCCAAACTATGAAAGAGGACCATGTTTTACAGATAATCGTAGACAATCACAGTTTTACCTTTCTCCGGACTTCTTTCATACATATTGATGATAAGTTGAATGAAAATGTTCAAATATGGATTGATAAGACCGTAAGGCCTGATGTCACTAATTTTCAATCCAGTTCCTGTGTATGTTGGCATATTTCAACCTTTCTTCCTGTTTCTCTTCCTTAGGAATGGCTTCCTGACATCCACTCGTCTATTGACACCATTTCTAATGAGGCTTCTGAAAACTGAAGAGCCACATGCATCTCTCAGGTCCTGTGTTTGGTCTTTGCTGAATTCTTTCCTGTTTCTAGGACATGAGATTTAGATACTTTTGAAATGCTGTAGATAGTTTTTTAGGCCTGCCACTTCTTCTTTTATTCCTTATTTGTCGAGTTTCCTCAGTTTCTTAAGGACGATTTGCACACTATGCAGAGATGTTCTAAGTTTTCAGCTAATAGCTCTTGGGGAATTGCCTTGGTGGTGCAAAACTGTCGAATTGTATTATCTTTCTCATTTTTTACAGATTCAACTAAAAAAAAAGGGCATCAAATCGTAATTTTGCAAAAAAACCCCAGTTTGTAACAAATTGCCTAAAGAGACATTTTGAAATGGATCCTTTGTTTTTTTGTTATGTTTAGACAAAACACTGATTCATTCCATGACATCCCAAACAAAAGCAAACACACACACACACACACACACACACACACACACACACACACACACACACACACACACACACACACACACACACACACTCAAATGTTAGACTGGTAAAGTTAGAGCAAACAGTTACAGAAGGCCTGTAACCAAGATAACATATAAACCCTGGCAGAATACTTTCAACATATTGTTGTGGTATGATACATAATGAAACACGGTAACACAAATGTTAATATTTAGCTCAGGTGTGCATAAGCGAGTTATCCAATGTAGAATGCAGAGGAAGGCAAAATGAACAAAAACGATGGTAAAGCAAGACAGGAAATGAAAATATTGCACAAAAAGCAATATCAACAAAAGATGGATACAAGGTAACCAAACAGATCATCTGACAAAAGCAAAGATACTCTGAATTTACCCAGATTACATTTTTTGAGCTTTTCATATGGTTTAGAGCCTTGTTTTTTCAGCACTTACTTCCACCTTTAAAATATATCAGTATTATCTCTATATTACTGTATTCTATATTCTAATCTTCCCCAGATGTATTTATTATTAAGACTTATGTCTGATTTTTAATCTCTTTAATTAATTTATATAATTGCTTATTACTGCAAATCATTGTAATTTTATTAATTTTTTTCTGCAGTTTTAATTATTGGCCTATTAGTCATCTGTGAAGCACTGAACTGCACTAAGATTCACCAAATGTGCTATAGAAAATAAGATTTGATTGAGTAATTGGTACTGATGTTTCAATTTATCCGGTATTGGTATTTTTGCAAATGATATCGTTAAACACTGAGTGGTAGCTACAGTCAGACAGTCAAAGCCCTCATAATCAAGACCACAAATAGTTAAATAGTTAATATTTTAAATACGATTGTAAGCATTTCCTTGATTTTTTTCTCCCACGTTTTACAGGCTGTGACTAGAATAGAATCTACCTAGCTACCACACTAGGTTTACTGATGTAGACCCAGTGTAAAAATACTTTTATGATGCTTTTATCAAAATTATAGATAAACATGTGCCCTCTCACAAATTTAGAGAAAAAAGCTGAGACAATCCTTATTTTTTTTTTTCTGTTCCATCTCCTCACAGAGAGAGATGCCACCTGGGCCAGAAAAGCTAAATCTGAGGCACACTGGCTGATTTTTAGACAGCTCGGAAACTCTTAAACCTCTTTAATTAAAAAAGGCCTAATCAGAATTCTACCTCAAAAACCACTGAACACCGTAATGATCCCAACTCCTTTTGGAAAATAATAAAACTTTGTACAGCGATGTAACCACAGACGAGATGTCAGCTCTTAAAGATTCAGGTAATTTAGGTGAAAAATGTGATATTCTAAAGTGCTTCAATGAACTTTTTTTTAAAAATCTACATCCAGGATTAGAAAAACTTACTGAACAGAGGCATCTGTCTGCTCATAGTCCTATTCGGATTTATTTCTCTCATTAATACAAACAAACTCTTTGAGTAGTTTAAAGTTGCTTATTGCTGCATATTTTTGTTTTCTTAATTCTTGATATGTCTAATCTCTTGTTGGCTTGTCCTTAATCTTTGAAGCATTTTGAACTGCACTAACCTGCATTAAAGATGCTAAACAAATAAAGTGTGATTGATTGATTAAGTTTCAGGTAACTTGTATTGGCTTATACCATAGGTGTCAAACTCTGGCCCGCGGGCCAAATTTGGCCTGCAGCCCAATTACATTTGGCCCGCGAAGCCATACCAAATTACTATTAGAGCTGACCTACTGGTATTATACAGCTAATATATATATTGTTTAGTATTAAGCTTTGCTTGTTCCATATTCAGTTTTTCAGCAAAACTTGTTTGAGTCCATAAGAAAAGATTCATTCTTATATCTAGAGGAAGATTTTTTTTCCAATAAATATTAGCGTTAGCCCGCGACTTTGTTCCAGTTTTGAATTTTGGCCCACTGTGTATTTGAGTTTGACACCCCTGGTTTATACGCTTATGACTTGGGGTCACTGCTGTTGTATAGCCCACATTTATATGAGCTGACACTTTTTTTCGTCCACAAGGAGGCGGTGTCGGTCTTCAAACAACCAGAGTTGAGTCAAGCGCTGTGTCTTGGCACGTGGTACCGCGTCATTTCATTATCTCATTCACAAAAACATTAACTCCCCTGCGGGGCACGCACTTCTAAGGGATATCAACTAATTGAAGGGCTGCAAGAGCCATAAAACAGCCCATTCACCTCCAACTACTTAATTTGATGGACTATTTTATCATGGTATGCTGCATTTATTGTATCACCATTAAAAGGTCACGTTGGCATTAAATCGAGGGGCACAATGTCCTGAGCATTTATGCAGCTTTGCCAACAGTGAAATAAGGTTTTACATTTGGTAATTATCATAAGACAAACAGCTATCCCTCCATTTAAAAAATATTACATAACAAACATTTAATAATGTATATTCTCAAAGACACATTAGGGCTAATAAGACCATGTAAATCTTAATGGGAAATTGGAATTTACCCCTTTAACTTTTTCACATTATAGTTATAGCTCTATATTTAAAATGATGATAAACACATCCATAAGTTTAAGCCTATTTACAATAATTTATTAGCAAAAAGTATAATTCCTCCCCTGTAGCTGGTCAGTAAGTCAAAACCCATCACAAAACGTTACTGAGCAGGCTTTGAATTTTTCTTATTACGTATTTATCCATTTTATACTAAATAGGCCTTTTTTTTAAAAAGGGAAAAGGCAGATTTAAGCAGATGCTCCAATTTTATGTTAAACGCGTTTCATCATGAAATATGACACAGTTAAGTTAATAAAGACATGATACTGAGTCCTTATTAACTTTGAGATAATTAGCTGTAGTCTAGTAGTGTTAGTCATAACCCTAGTGATATCATTTTTGTGGACTTAATTAGGTTTCTGATGCAACAGAATACAATCACTACAGGCATAAAATAGCACTGATTGGTTTCCATGAACACTGGGTCGCTTTTTCAGTGAAATCATACAAGAGAAAAACAAACCCTGTGAGCCATTTGTATAGTTGGACCTTAATTTCTAATAATAATAAGAGCAGCATACAACATGTGAACGATGTGGCTCATTATGTGAAAATGAGGAAGGCGTGGCCAGTAACCAAAGTAGCGGAGTTTCCAGGGTGGGCTGTGTGCGTCCTGCTCGCAGTTACGGGAGCGGAGTGTCAGACGGAGTGTGTCAGTGGGACCGGGGCACTGCGCGTCGGACAGCAGAAGCTGGATAAAGCGCACCGGCTCTGCGCATGTATTTGCTAATTTTTCTTCAAAGTGTTGAATTCCGCTGCGCCTCTTATCGGATGCTGGATGCAACACCTTTCCGTGTCAAGAATACACGTCTGACGGACAAACCATGGACAGTCTAGGGAGCCGTTGCAAGATTGTGGTGGTCGGGGATACGCAATGTGGGAAAACTGCGCTCCTGCACGTTTTTGCCAAGGACTGCTACCCAGAGGTAGGTCCAGCTATTAAAAAAAAGTCGAAACTTCGGTCTTTCTGTAGAGGAGGGAACCGCGGAGTTTATGAATAACTACAGCACCGTCATTTAAATGTAACGCTCTACTCGGCAGCTCAGTTTCAGCACTAATCCGGCAGGTTACATCCACCTGTCTAAACACACTAATGCTCAAAGAAGAGAAGGAGAAAGAACCTTAGCGCAGACATGAAATAAAGGACTGTAAAATGACTAAATGAACTGTAGTGTCTCCAATACAGACTACAAAACTTTAAGGCTTTGTCTTTGCTGTGTTTCTAAACATAATATCCCCGAAAGCATTTGAGGCAGCCCAGCTGTGAAATGTGTCTGCCTTTATTGTATTTGTCAGCTGCATCGTTTCAAATGTCATACTCTCAGCAGTCTAATCACAGTCACTATAAACAGAGGCTTATTATGCCCCTTTTCATCGGGTAACTAAAATAAATCTTTTATTTTCAGAACTATGTGCCCACAGTGTTTGAAAACTACACAGCCAGTTTTGAAATAGAGAAGCACCGGATTGAACTGAATATGTGGGACACGTCAGGTAAGACTATTTCACGTCTCTGTCTGTGCTGTGTCTTAGAGGCTGACATTAAATCAATCGTCTCCTAGCCCTGCCGTGGTGTCTGTCCCTGGGTGCGACAGGGTGGCACTGCCTCCAACTCCCTCTCCAACTTTTTCAGCAGTCATCTCTTTGACAAATTGCTTTGACCTAGCCAACTCGAGATGCCTTTTGTTTTTAGACGGTTTTTGTTTGTTTGTTTGTTTGTTTTTTAACTCAGGACATCTGCTAGTGCTGGAAACTTTGGTGCCAGCCATGTCTCTCTGTGTCTTGTGTGTGCATTCTTTCATGAGTTGTCCACTGTGTGTGGCTGCCTCTTCTCATGATCTGGCTCAGGGTCAGGCAACTGTGGGGAGGTGAAAGGGGTTATGGCGTGGATAATTCAGACAGGATGGGCCTGAAGGGACCCGTAACAGCTATAACCATTTAAGAGCTTTCCTCAGATTTAGATGGATGCAGCAGTTGGCTGACATACTGGCTAGTACTGGGCTAATCTTTGTCTGCTCGTTTGATTAAGTTTCCCCATTTTACACATTTTCAGACATCCGATCAAGATTTATATAAAGTTTTGTTTCCTTTGGATATTTTATTAAGTAATTTGCTGACAAATAATTCATGAATGGACTTCATTCCTCAACCCTGTGCGAAATTAATTAATTACGTTTATTTTCAACTCCATACACATTCATTACTTTCAGGGGCTTTCTAAGGGCCATATCATACCGTTCACGGTAATACCGGTATAATGTTGGGCAACGATAAGAAAATGAAATATCGTGATAGAATATGGGTAAAACACGCATGCGCAGTGCCTTTGTTTTCATATGCACATGGCGGAAAAAGCACTGCGGTGACAGAGAATGAGAAGGGCGAAAGCGGAACGTTGAACGAAACAGATGAACCAGAATTGGTTTGTAAAAATGCTGCAACTTCAGTGGTGTGGAACTGGTTTAGCTTTCGTCTGTCAGATACACAACAAAGCACTATTTTTGGTAGAGCATGCTAGCGGCTGTCGTTATTTTTTTTATTTTTTATTTTTTTTAAACTGAAAATATTCACTTTAATTCAGTTTTATTTACATAGCACCAAATTAAAACAACAGTCGCTTCAAGACAATATGACAATCTGAATCAGTGTGTATAGTTGTAGACATTTTTAAAGAGTTTTAACTAATTGAACTACTTTCGTCTTTAATTTGATATGTTTTAACTACACCTTTATATACATAAATTGGGACATGACATCAATTACTTGGCTGTCCTTTTGGACTGAAATATCTTGTTCAGTGGGTGTAGGTTCAAGGTCCCTTTATTTGTCATTGTACAATATAAAATAGAATTACTCTGCAGCACTGCTTAAAAATGTATCTCTTTATAAAGTATAAAAATAGTAAAAGTAATAATAGCAGAAGAGAATAAGTAAATAAAATTCACTCAGGCAGAGTCATTTCAATGTGCCAATATATGCTACAAACATAAATGTCATTCCCAAATCATTGTTTGGGTGACTTCATAGTAGCATTTAGGGGAGCGGTGACATTTGTGTAAAAAGTGTTCAAAACTGGAGTCATGTGTGTTTGTGATGTCCTGTCTGCCTGAGGGCAGAAGTTCAAAGAGATGGTGGGCACAGTGTGATGAGTCCTTTATGATGGTTGTTGCTTTCTGAAGGCAGCAGGATGTGAAGATATTGTTCAGGGCAGGTAGGTGTGTGTTTGTTATTTTCTCTGTAGTTCTGATAACTCTCAGCAGGGCCTTTTTGTCCTCCACAGAGCGGCTGCTGTACCACACTAAGATGCCATAGGTCAGGGCACTCTCAATGGAGCAGTGATAGAAAGACACCAGCAGACGTGGCAGGTTGATCTTCCTGAGAGTCCTCGGGAAGTGTACTTGCTGCTGTGCCTTTCCTTTTTTTTTATTTTTTTTTTTTTTTATTCGTTATTGTCGTTATTACCGTGTTTTTTGGAAAATACGGCACACTTAAAATCAATCCTTTGATTTTTCTGAAAATCGACAGAGCCCCTTATAATCCCGTGTGCCTTATGTATGAATTCTGGTTGTGTTTACTCACCTCGAAATGATTTTATGTACACAGCGCTCGAAAATCTGTCAAATGTTTTAGTACGACTTTGTTAAGCTACGAAGCTGCACCGCTTGATGGATTGTCGGAGCATTACAACTATAGTAGGCAGGAGCCTTGCTGAGTGATACGTACTGTGCTTCAACATAATATTACCGTATTGTGTGTGTATAACCTCTTTTTAAGATTTCTGGATATTATACATGGTTATGCTGAGGATATGTCGGCCAATTTCCACTGGAAATGCCTTTTGGTTAAACTGTCAGCAAGGAATTTGCACTGTTAAATTTTTATATAACTTTAATGCAAAAAACAGCTTCTTGTTTAAGTGAAAATACATTGATGTTTTTTTTTTTGCATTAATAAAGTTGTGGAGTTTTGTCTAGTGTCAATTATATAGTCAGTTATATCATTATCGCAAATTTTCAAATGTATATCGTGATAAATATTTTTGATCATATCACCCTGCTCTATTTCTAACTTTAATTTTTTCAGTCATTAAAAATGTCTAATTTGAACATGCTGATATGTTCTGAATAACAGCATCAGTGATATCAGTGTATAAGTGTTATTGTTCCATAGAAAGGAATCCACATGTCGGGAGTGTTGTTGAATCACAGTGGAACTTTCTCTGAAAACAAATCATCTTTATTTTAGTGGTGTATGACCAGGCTGTAGGACTCCTGCATGGGAAGCCAGGATCTATCCCTGTCTTGTCAGTGTGGTTAGATTTACAGCTATGTGGATCTGAGATGCTGCATGTCACAGTCTTCTCATGCCAGAGGCTCCTGCCAGTTATCTGACCGGTGACATGGCTCAGTAGTTATAGCAGTCTGTATGGGATCCTTCCAGAGGGAATTCTTTTATGTTACCATAAACATTCCCAAACCTAAAACTGTCTTGGGAGAGACTATGAGAGCATTTTTATGTTACAAGACCAGTCAGCCAAAGAATGTTGTTTTTTCTTGAACCTCATGTCAGCTCCAGAGAGTAAATCTGCTTGAGCCTGTCAGTCAGGGGTTCCAGGCCCTCTCAGGCCCAGGGCTACAACTTAGAAGAGTTCCTTATCTCTCAGCTGTAAGAGTCTAATGTGGGAATGTTGTGCTTCTGTCCATCTTTAAACGCCTAAAGCACCTTTGGCAGTTTTAGACGTTAATCTTCAATCAGGAGCCGCCCACGCTACAACAAACATGACGTCACCCAGCCCACAGGGCAAATGTGTGTGTGCATGTGTGGTTGTTTGCCTATGTGCTTCTGTGTGTGTGCACATTCAGAGGTCCTTGGTGGTCTGCCATTATTCACTGATTCACGGCAAACACAGATGTTCATATTTTCTCTCAACAAGAAAAATAATTGGCTCACACTTAGATGGAAAAGGCTTTCATCTGAAAAGAATAGCATGTCTCCCATCGTTCCTTTATTTGAGTCTGAGTATTTTATTGCTTCACCCTCTCTCCGCCTACGGCTCCCATTCTCATGCTCTGCTTTAATTTTCTTTCATGTACCATAAGCACCGTCGCCAGCAGTTCAGTGCAGAGACTCTTGGGACTCTCTTGGGTCACACAGTCATTTATCATTTATCATTGATCAAGTATTTCAGACTTTATCAGTTAATTTAAGTAAAATCACAGTGATCAGTGCTATAAAATGTCTTGACATGCCTGGCGTACAGTCATCTTTGGTGAACTTTGACCTGTGAATTTACTCTGTGAGGCTCTTGCAAGTGTTCTTGACAAAGCTGACCTTAAAGGGAACAGACAATGAAAGACCAATAGCTGGTAAACACATGCTGTTATCTGTACAGGTGCAACTACAATCCACTGAACATTTTCATTTTGACCTGTTTGCATCAATCAATTTTTGCGTTGCGCTCCAATTTTTTCGACTCCATTTATACACGCATTATTGTCTCACTTTCAGCCTCTTCTCATAAACTTTTGTCTCCCTTTTAATTGCTGCTGTAGTCTGCACGCTGTGGCCGGGCTCAGTTCACAAAACATTATTGATTGCCGTTTGAGGCGAGGCTATTTAAACAACTTGCTTCTCGCCTGTTTCACATTTCTCCAGTAAGGTTAAATGGATATAATCATTTAGAAATGCTCCCAGCGTTCACTCTTGCATGGAAGTCAACCACTGATTCACGTGGTCACCATAATTTCAGTTCTTCTACTAGGTCTCATCTTTGCAGGATGGGTGAGAACAAAGGTAAGCTGTTTATCTAATTGAGGTCGTCACTCCCTGTAAATCTGTACGTTTGTTCATGTGCAATTTTTATAGAACTCCCTAAACATATGGGTATTTTAAGACGTATTAAGCAGAAACAAGGAGGTCAGACAGCTTATGGGAATCAGAGGGCAACCTTCAGCTGTACTTTGTATTCTTCCCTGCATTCGGCTCTAGACCATCTGGAGAATTAAATCAATTAGACGGTGATTGAATGGAATTCAGAAGAGAAAATAAAAAGAGAAAATAAACACACTATATTTGGATAAATGTGTGTCCATGTTACATGACATGGTGATAGATGGTGTAGTCGGTTTCAGCAGTGCTGTATCTGTTTTTTAATTTATTTTAAAAGCAACATAAGCTGTCAAGTGGTCAAAATGTCAGCGTGGGTCGGTGATAACTTATCAGAGATCGTTAGTGATAACTGTTGATGCTCGTGGGCTTCTTTGGTAGTCAGCGAGTCAGGAGCTTTTACTGAGCCTGAGGCAATGAGGCACTCATCCTCTCTTCCCATTATGGTAAAGGTGCCTGAGAAAGATTTCTTGTAGCTTTGGCCTGAGAGTAATACTTCAGTGAGAGGTGTGCATGCTGTTTCTCAAAAAGTCCAATTCATGACAAGTCGGGTTTTCCCAAAGTTCCCACAGCAGTACCTTCTTGTCTGTTTGTGTTTCTCTTCACAG